ATATGGCAAATGGCAAGATAAAATGGTCCATAGAAACAATGGTACCATATGGTCAATGGACCCTTTGGTACATGGTACCTTCAATGGGATCATTGGTGAATGGTACCTTATGGCCCATATGGTGTTTGGTACCCTATGATGCATTTGGGCCATATGGTACTTGTACCATCAGTACAATGTACCATATGGTTCTTTTTCAATATGGTACTCTTTTATTCAAAAACAATAAACACACTTATTTTTTCATCATTATTTGTTTACAATAGTTGTTTACAACAAAAAAATGCAAAAAAAGTTGTTTTTTGTAAAGTTTATTAATATTTAAAAAAGTACAGCCACTTGACATGTTCCTTGAGGTGGTGAAGGGCTTTTTTTCTCGGAAACTGCGGAAGTCAGTAGCTGTTGCGTCGCCACTACTCGTTTGGTGGTAAACTCTTCACCAACACCTTTGCCATATGGTACACGGAATCATATGTTACAGGGTACCTATGGTCATTGTACTATATTTTATAGGGTACCGCAGTACCGGTAACATAGGGGGCGGGGGAAATTTGGGACAGGGTACCTATGGTACAGGGTACCTATGGCACAGGGTACCCTATGGCAAAAGGGGACCCTTTTGGTACAGGTACCATCAGTACAGGACAAACCCTTGGTACAGATACAGGGAATTTTTTTTTGGGTTTCCCAGGTTTTTTTGTAGCTGCTAGATGATAAATTTTTAAATTTTATTTCTGTACACCTGAATAAATTACTAATGCATGTGGCAAATTTTAAATAAATTTATTTTGTTATACCCCAAATAAAGTTCATGAATATCATACTTAGGCATTTTTTGTTTGGAGGCCTAGGTAACCAAAAAAAATCAGGGAGATTATTTATTAGGGCCCTGTCCCTGTCCTATGGTCCATTGTGCCATATGGTACAATGTATATATGGCATTGTACCTTGGTACCATTGTACCATAGATACCCTTGTACCATGTGATACCATTGTATGAATGGTACCTTGTACCTATGGTACCATTGTACCATATGGCACAATGGTAATATGGTTCAAAACCATAGAATTCGTCTTCAGCTCCACTTCCTCAGTCTTAGAACTGTAAGTTGTGAAAGGAAGTCGAATTCCCCCAAAATTTTGGGGGGGGAAAGTGAGAGCTTCCCTTGCCCAGGCATATGAAAAAGTATTTTGCGGCTTTCCCCACAATCCCATGGGGCATCCAGATTTTTTCTATGGTGTGCCCCCTGCCACCCAGCCCCTTCTCTTAGATGTAGGCCCTACGCCTTCTCGTGCAAAATTTGGGACACGCAAGGGTTTTGGCTAGTTTCTTGGTTTGGACCCTAAAACGTAAAGCCATAATCTAGGGACGGACCCTGAAAGGGTTTAAAATTAGCTAAAATTTTTCCCCTTTGGTAAATTTAAAGATGATGATAATAAGTTTTTATTTTGGCATTTTTTGAAGTGTGGGCAATTATTGCCAATATTAATTAACATAAAAATTTGTTTGAAGTTTACTTCATTTTTTTTTTTTTTAACACATCGCCCGATTCCCCCCAAAGGAAGGGTGGGCCTGAAAAAGAAAAATTTTCAGCATATTCACTCCATCACTGTCTTGCCGAGGGGGTTTCTTACAGTTATAAAGCTGAAACATTAACCCCCCTCCTTTGAGTGAGACACTGTACTTCCATCTCCGGGGACTAAAGTCCGGCCTGCCGTTTTTTGAATCCCTTCATAAATGTTACTTTGCTCCACCCCAAAAGCACGTCGAGTTTTAAAAAACCATTTGTTCCATTGACTTATCAAAATGCTCCGCAGCTTCCTGGAAGTCCAAACCCCCTGCACAAAACCTCCTTTACTCCTCCCTCCCAAACCCCTTCTAGGCCGACCCCCACCCCCCCTTCCCCCCTCTACGATTTATCCCTTCGAAATCATTCTGTTTTTTTTCATTCTCTTACATGTCCAAACTTCAACAACCCTCCCCAGCCCTTGGATAAAAGTTTTGGTATCCTACACTTTCTCCCCAATTTCCAAACTCGAATTCTCTGATTGTGTTCAACCCCCATTCCCTCATACATGACATCTCCCCTGCCCCCAGCCTTCTCCTCTTGCAACATTCATCACCCCTGCTTCACACCCATACAAGAGTGTTTGGGTGTAAAAAATACTTTCTTCCCCTCTTTGCTTCCATGGACAAAATTCTTGTCTCCACGATCCAAATGCACCATTTTTTCCCCTTTTTCCCCATCAAATTTTTGATTTTCCTTTCCTTATGACCCCTTGCTGAAAATCCACTCCTAATATCTAAATACATTCACCCCCTCCATACTCTCTCCCTCAATAAAAACCTTACTCTTTTCCCATATTCACTTTTTAAATTTTTTTCTTTTACTACCCTACCAAATTATCCCTAACCTCTGCAAATTCTCTCAGAAAAACCCAAAAACACGTGTCTTGGGAAAGAGCAACTGTGACAACTCCCACTTTGTGTTTGATCTTTATCTTTTAAAATCCCCGCCTCTTTCCAAGACCCTCGCATTTACTTCTTTTCAAATCCATCTATAAATATTTGAACAACCCCGGTGACATCACAACCTTGTCTAAGGCTACTTTTATTGGGAAAAACAGTGGAATCTGACCAATGATGGCATTTTATAAAGGGTTTAAACGACTTGCGATTTCTTT